GGGCTACTTGGTTCTGCCGTGCTCTAGGCAAAGCTCCAGTCTCACCAGATGTAAAACCCATCTAAGCAGAGACACCAGGGAATTCCCTTCACTCCTCTCTGACTCAGAGAAAAGGCTTCCCCATGCACACTGCCTCCCTCCTTTCTCTATTTGTCTGTCTGTCTGTTTTCCAACCCTCTAGCGCCCATTCCGCCCATGGAAAGCCAAACAAGCCAGAACACACAGGGCCATATAGGTGCGCCAGGTATGTCCTAAAGCCCATGTGCCAAAAAAGTGGTTTTGGGCGAACCGAAACACCAACCCAGGACTGACACAAAATAAATGTAACAGGGTAACAATGGAAAAAGTGTCATAAATCCATGCTCTGCGGCTTTTTCGTAAAGTGTTCGCAACTATAAATGATAAAGTCAAATAAGAACAGGTTATGGAAGGCATGTCTTTGCTGAAGCTAATACTGTATCTACGGAAAATGTGGATTGTAGTCTATCATTATCGAGCAGTCTAATTATCAGAGTTTCCTGGCAGTGTTTGGTGATGAACTAAGAAATTGGAAAGCACGATATTGGAGTTATTGACTGACGGAATAAAAAGAAGATACGGCTGCTGTTGCGTTTTGGAAGTACTCTGAAGGGTTTTGTCATGTTTATGTAGGAATCCCAAATGAGATTATCTGCAACATCATTGCTCATTGAGAGCAGTGTGGTCAGATCTTCCACTATCCCTCATTCGCAATATCAACCGTAAACGTTTTAATAATAATTTGTGTTTGCACTGTCTGAAGTATTACCACAAATATCACTCTATTGCCACAGAAACAATAACTGAAGTTTGCAGGACCCACATCTCTTTCCTCGCTCATTCTTATGGCTGTCACTATTCTATATAAATGTATAATAAATTGCAACAATATTACTGGTGATACATTATGCTTCTGACAACATTACAAAAGTGTACACTTGACTAATTGCCTATTTAGAAGCATAAAGGGATTTCAAATGGGCTGTAACAATTAATAACTTTCCAATATCAACATTTTAGTAATCCATTAGTTGTTAACTGCTATATATACAGTATATATATAAACTTGAAACATACTAATAATAATTAAATTAATGAATTGTATGGAAACTACATAAATCAAACTTTTTCGGTTTAGGTTGAAATGTAGCACTTGGAACATTTGGCTGTTGTTTGCAAAGAGAATGTGCAAACAATAAATATCGGTTCCAATATTGGACACTAAGTCGGTAGCATAAATGTGGCGATCGGCTGAATGGCCGCTGCTCCGTTTTCTTACTACATTACTGTATCATCCTAAAACAAAACAGACCAGAGTTGATCATTTTTCCAAATGTTGACTAAAAACCGCCTCCTGTTGCTCATTTGTCCCTTTCTAATCCTCTGGGCTCTTGTCTTTTCCGACTCTTTCTTCTACAGGGAATCCTTCACGGATGACTATGAGAAAACACTTCCTCCAGAGCAGGGCAAACAGGCTGCAGGCGGCGCAGCCACATCCACACTGCGCACAGTTTGCATCACTATCCTGTGGGCGACGGAGAGCAGCGCTCATCAAAACACTAAGTCATTATTTTCATGGTAAATTGAGCTTTGCTTATTTATATCACGGAAAATCCCAGAAGGGCGTCTTTGAGGAATAAATAACAATGAGAGCTATAATAAAGAAATATCATGTATTTAGGTTACACTAAAAGTACTGGATACAATAAGCCAAATACAAAAATATTTATATATATTTTTTAAATACAAAGATATCGAGACCCACATACTGTGCTCAATTTTCACAGTACATGTTCTGTGTTTTATTTATTTGCTTGAGAATAATGTAGCTCCAAAAATGTATATAGTCTTCCATTAGATTTATTATATGCATTAGATAGATATTCAGTGACTTCTTTTCATACCAGCTGAGTTCAAGTGCTCCATCACAATCCTATTTCAGACTGCATAATAAGTGGATAAAACATTTTAGTATTTAGTATGATATACATATGTCAGTATAGATTTAAGTATATTATCATTGCTTACAAAAACCGACATGAATCAAAAACATATGTACAGTCTATATTTATAAATATGTTTTGATCAATATTCTTTTGTGGTGTTTTGTGATCTCCCACAGACTCAATAGTCTGTTGGTAATAACTGGCCCAGTGTTGGGGCGCACTCAGAGCTGGTGGAGACTGGTGGAAGGTGTTTATTGGAGTGGATGTTGGAAAGCCCGTCTCAGCTCTGACCTTTGATGGCAAAGGCAGTAATGGCTGTCACCACTGTGGCACAAGTAATCATTTGTGATCGGAGTTCAACCCAAGAGTTTGTGTCTCCAAGTTATGACTGTGTCTGTAAATGGTAATTGTGGTGAAATGTTCTGTATTTAATGGCTGGATACAGCTTTGAATGTTTCCAGATGAAAACAAAATAATGCTATTGAACATTTATTCTAATATTTCTATTTTAGCCCACATGGACGTTTTAGATCCCTTGATGGAAAAAAAAAAGAAGTAAGTGATTCTAATCCACTATAATAATTATTGTCAATTTAGATGCAGGGTGAATGAAGGAAATCTGAAAAGGAATGAAGGAAATCTGTCATAAATAAATCATGAGTCCTGTAGTCTGCAGGCGACTTTAAGAATGTTCCTTTTCTCTTCTTAAATTGTATTGTAGCTGTAATGTTTGTATACCCATAGCAGACAGGTCACTTAGGTAGAATGACCAAGTATCCGGTAATGTTTCTACATTAACGGTAATGTTTTCTTTCCTGTTATAAATACATTTTTTTCTTTTATCCCACAAGTTTGAGTGGTTCTGTACTTATTGTGTTTTGAGGAGACTGTGGAAGTAACAGTTCATTAAAGCTGACATAAAAGCAGACGTAGTAAGTGGTAAGAAAAAAAAGATGTATTTTATGACTTGAATTCTCTTTTCTCCTTGACACAGCAGAGACGAAAAACAAACCACTAAAATGTGAACAGAGTTTGGGGATCCCACTCAAACTAATGTCTTTAACGGGAATCAGGGAGAGAGGTGAGGTGGACGCAGAGAGAGAGAGCTCCGGGGCCGGGAGGCATGTGGGCTTATGTGTCCGGCCAAAAGTGTGCAGCGAGGAGAGTGTACCCTCGGCTTTCCTCTCAAGGGGGATTCCTCCGTGACTAAATCAATCCAGGAGGGAGACCCCCATTAGAAAAGGCTGTACGCCCACTGTCAGCCCTGCTATACAGCTTATAGGTCTCCTCTCAATCAGAACCATGTTAAAGGGGTTTCCTGTTCATTTTGGCCAGTTTTGGATAACCATTTCCTACGCATAAAAACAATGCTTCAGCAAAATCTGACACCAAAAAGGAATGAATTATGAGGCTGCCTTCCCCAAATATAAAGATTAAAGTAAATAATATGAATACTTAAAATACATACAGTACTTTATGCTGTTAGAGACCCCAAATTAAGTGTATGCCATATTGGGAAAAGTGAAATAATTTCAGTAAAAAAAAAAATCCTCCATAAAATATTCATGTTGCCATCAAGAGCTGAGGCCATCCAGTAAGAAAACATGAAATTCCATGTGGGTGTCATCTGTGATGGATGGGATTGTTCAAATACATTTCAATGAGATGTATTGCTCTATTATTCCTAATATTTTTGAAAAATGTGTTGCATATACATTATTTATGTGTTTTACAATGATTAATCACCTTGCCTAAAGCTCTTATATATTTTCAATTAGCTTTAACTAAAGCTTGCTTTTGATTGCAATAATTCGGTGGCACCCTTCAAGAAAATAGTAGCACTTTCCCACCCACCGCACACCAATGTTTTAGAGCATAAGACAAACATTCCAACCGTCATAATGTTGTTATTGACAGACAAGGTTAAAGTCCGGCTGTGTAAGCTGAGGTCAGCGTAGGCAGGCTGAATGTCAGGACTGAGCGACTGCGATGTGACAGAGAAAGTGAGAGAAAGTGAGACGTTGCACATGCCCTGCTTGTGATTCATTCCTTGAGTTGTGGCGAGCACCAATGAACAGGCAATGGAAACTTCAGCAAATGTAAATACACTTTGGTTAAAAATATATTGGCTTAATGTGCACCACATGTGCCTCTTTTGGCCTGGCCTGCTGTATTTTGACGGGGAGGAGAGACTGGAGGAAAGTTTGGAGGGAAGGCCAGACGCAGAGCCGAGTTTTGAGATATTGAATAAGTAGGAAATTGGTGGCAGTAAACATTGTGGTGGCAGCAGCAGAAGGAGCTGTGACAGTGGCACGGGATGGCAAAAGCAGATATTGTTCGAGGGTATGGGTATTTATGAGTATTTATATATAAACGTTGTAAAATGAATATTAATCACACAGAAGATGGAAACTATTGTGACAGTGTCAGAAGCAGTGGTGATATCTGCGGCACTTTTACTGGTTAGTAAGTTCTTCAGAATGGTTACTCCCCTTTAGAATATTTGGAAGTAAAAATTGGAATATAAGCTGGAAATCGACATCAACATTCTTAGCTGGACTGTTCAAAACATACATGTCTGAAGCACATGCATGAAATGAGCACTTAATAATAACAAAATAAAATCAGTTAGATGTTGTTTGGTCCATATAATTTACTACTCTAAGGGTGAGTGGACATTTTTATTCAAAACATCGGGGACCACAGGTATAGGTTATTTCCTGTGTCTGCATATGATTCCTTAAAAAAAAAATCTTAATGTTTTGTTAAGCACTGTTCCTGTTCAAATAAAAGATACCATTATACATTATTTAATAACTTCTGATACTGATAAAACTTTACTATATAGAGCAAGGATCTAGTAAAATTGATTTATTTATTGTTTATTTGGTTGGGACAGTACATGGGCTAATTTCCATCCGTCGTCCCATCGTCAACTATTGTACGTATAGTTACATTTGCTGTAGTTTTAACAACCTCTTCAGTGTATTAGTCCACAACAATCCGCATTAGTGACCATGATATCGTGGGGCTTACCCTGAGCCTTCTCCACAAACACCACCTTGGAGTCGGGGAGGAAGTTGAGTCCGCTGACCAGCATCATCTTTCCCCCGGTGGCTGGATAACTGTCCACGCTCTGCTTCTCGACCAGAGGAAGCTCCTGGGCCGAGCGCTGAGCTGTTGCAAGAAATACAGTGAATAGAATCTGTTCACTGGGGCCAAGAAAACAGCAGAAATAAGCTGACAATTTATATCACGAGTCCAGGCCAACAGCTGCATTTAAACGCCAGAGACAATTCATCTACAGCCTTTTCATTGGCAAACCTTAAGAGCATTTGTGTTTCTTAGACTTGACCTCACACAAGTATATATCTATTTGCAGCATTTTCTCCATATTTCAAGTTATTCTAATTTATAGAGAGTAGTACTTTTCTATTAATTTTGCTTTAATGCTTTTTTTTTTAATTATCTGTTCTATTTCTCACCATGTTTGTTTTGTTAGCAATAATCCAGGGTTCTCTTACTATTAGTTATTCCACTTGTAAGTCACTCCCACCAGAAATCAGGGAGACAGGATTCCTTTCCAGGCAAAACATATTTGTAGAAAATGGAGAAGTGTGAATAGTCTTGATTGGTTTGGCACCAATTTTATTCTGATTATTTGCAAATATTATCAAAGGTGAACAGTGCCGGATTACATACAAAATATGCAAACCATACATACATTTTTTTAAAGCCTAAAAACTGAACAGGCAGTCAAATTTTTTTTGTTTTTTTAATCTATGTCACTTTGTGTTGTTAAAGCAGTAGTAGGCGGTCCTTACAGCACTCGATGGGGTTGGAGGAGGCCTGCAGGGACACGGTTCTTCCATTGGGCTGGTTGATGTGCACTCTGAACACCAGTCTCACTCGTGTGTTTTTACGCCCAATGTCCGTCTCTCCTTTACGAAGCTCGATGTCAGAATTGCGCAGTTTCAGGATCCCGGCACAGTCAATTCTGCCAAAGAAGAAGGAAAAACAAAAGATGGAAACCACTGATTAGGAAGAGAGCGTCAAACAAAAATGAAATACATTATTCTGTTCAACTTCCTTAAGTGCACCTGTATATAAACTGCACCAGCTACATTTATAAAATAAAGCAAATAGTCCGGCAAGTACTTTAAAAAAAAAAAAGAAAAAAAACAGTAGCCAAATGCAGTAGCCAATGAACAGTGATTATTTCATACCAATTAAACATCAACAATAATATAATATAGAATATTTTTGAAAAGTTCATGTCTTTTGGTGGAATCTCGCAGATAAACATTGAGTACGAAATGTATGAGATAAATCATTATTATTGTATAAACGAAATTTATCACATGCACATCACAGATTGCATTAACTGGCCAGAGCCACACACAGATTTCAGAAGTGGAGGGATATATCTGGTCTCTGAGCAGATACAAAGCTGGAGCTCCTGATGACTGTGTTATGCTCACACTAAGTCAAAGTTAGTGACTGCACTAAACCTGTCGGCTGCATGAGCACTTTTTAACATCATCATTGGAGATCTCCTTCCACTGCCACGTCCTGAGCCTGATTTCATCCAACTATTTGGGAGGTAAAAGGGTAAAATTTCTGCCTATGTGGAAAAAATGCATTTGCTATGAAATAAATCTTCAGTGGCTGATAAAAAGTAAATGAATACAAATGGGATATGGTTTGGCATTTCAGTTATTTTAGATGGTAGGTCTTTCGGGCAGGGTTCCTGGAACATATGGTTGAAAGTCAAGTTGTCGGATGATTCAAATTTTCCTTTTGATTTAGAAATTCCACCTTTTTAACATGAATGTCCTGTATTGGAATAAAACATGGTTGGGTGCAGCCTGGGCAATGGTGCAGGGCAAGAAATTAGACTGAAGTTACTTTCTCATGTCAGGTATTTGCAAACATTTTAAACTGCACGAAGAATGGCAAGTTTCCACAAAAACAGATAAAAATGACAAATTGAAACAGACAGAAAGCTTGAGTGGCTTTCTCGACTTCCTACATCCCACACAGTGAAAGAATGATTATTGGCACAAGAAAACCATGGTGCGCTCTGGTGTTATCGCGGCGGCTGCTCAACAGTTCAGTGGAAAGAGACGGTTAAACACTTAACCATGACCTTTACAGTAATTCAGTTTGGGAATGAAAGACCAAATGTTCACTCTTCATTTCGCCGTGTGCCGAAAACGAAAGGGGAAAAACAACTTCCTTTTGAATATTTTTATATAAGATCGCATTCATCCTAAGGGACACATTAAGTCTGTGGGGAGAGGGGAGCACTAAAATATGATACAATATGAGGCGTGTTGTGGTCGAGCAGGTCACACAAAAGGAAGTACAAATGTTAATATCATTAGCTGCATGTTAAATTGCACAACACATGTTTTGAACAAAAATGCGTGGGTGGAATTTATAGTTTGAAGACTGACTGTTCTTCAGTTATGCTTCATGAGCTCAAAAGTATTGCATTTAGATGTAACTGTTAGTATTTATTGTTTATTCTCGGCCACCATGGGTCAAAATTATGAGAAATGAGGACATTTTCCATGGTGGCGACTGGCAGTTACCATTAGAAAACAAAAGGTTAAATATTTTGAATTGGAAAAAGGTTTGACCTGATCCTGTTGAGAATTTAAAAAAAAATTCTGACATAAATTTGATTTTAATTTCATTCCAAGTATTAGTTAAAGCACTTGAGTAACAATCATTAAAGGAGTTGGCAGAAGCATAAGAGCTTGCACAGACGTATCCCCTTTCACAACAATTTATAAGAATCTTGGGTAATGAACAATCAAATGTAATATAATGGTGCATATAGTTGATGGATAATCCACATCTTTAGAAAGTTTCTTTAAGTCAAAATATACTCTCCACACTTTTCTACACTTGAGATCCCAAACCTCAACGGTGCAATAACTCAGTTGCACCCCCTGGAAAATCCCAATCATCAGCCATTCTGTTTGTAGAGTGTGGTGGTGCATTTTGGTGTTTTAAAAAAGTATCAAAAAGAAGAAAGGGAGTTGTTGGCTCTCACATGGCTCTCATGTTGTTCTCGGGCAGCAGCGGGATCTCCAGGACTTTGGTGTTGGATTGCAAGGCCTCGTGGCTCGCGGTGGAGACGGTTTTTCCGGTGATGCGGTGGACCTGGTAGAAGGCGTGTGGGCGCAGGAGGCGGTCGTCTGCGGTGCCGATGAACAGCTGCAAGGTGAGGGGCTCGCTCTCCATGTAGCCGTAGAGCTGCGGAGAGAACAAAAGGTCCCCCCCGGTGAGAGGCGGGCAAACACTCATTTAGCAAATACACACTGGGATGTTCCTGACGAAGGGTGACTGTAGATGCATAGTTACTGCGTTAAAAAAACAATTACAATTAGTGCTTTCTTGTTTTGTAAAGCACTTTGCGTTGCCTTGTGTATAAGGTATAAGGGTGTGTTGACTTTGGACAGAAATGGCTTCATTCATGGATGAAAAAAACCCAGACAACTGAACATTTGTCATTTAGGTAAGTTTATATCTATTGAAGTAAATATATAAAGCGTTTTCCAGAAGTGAACCAGACTTGGTCCAGTTAAAGTGAACCAGACCAAAGATATTAAGTCATTTTATTGGACAATCAGCATTCTGCACATTTTAGTGATTGTTAATGGTAATAAGGTTAGGTTTTTTTAATATCCATACTTTAGTATTTAGTTTCTGTACCAGTTTTAGGAATTGAGCTGAAACAAATAAAAATCAGATTCAGCCAAAACAGTGTCTTAATAAATTCGAAAACATGTACGGTCCATAATTATGTAATTATTTACATAATTTTACTTTCAAGATCATTATTTATCGCAATGTCTATCCAAAGCAATAGGTCGTCTATCAGAGTGTTTTATAGTAATAATAATACTTGTTTTACGCTTTAGCTCAAGTACCAGCACAGTCCCTATGTTTGCTGCACGGTTGGACTGTTTGCCCCTTGTTCAGTGGTGGCTGCATTTTTTCTCTTTTACTAGCCTGACATTCCTTTAAAAGAGGGTTTGATGTCTGGAAGCCCCTCTGCGTCGAGATCTCCAGTGTGAAGAGACATGGAGGCTGAGATAGAGGCAGACTTCCTTCATAACTTCACTGTTCATTAAAATCACACTGGTGCTATTAAAACGTGTCTACAGAGATCAGGCTCGAGACAGACTCAGCAGAAAAAACACCCTGACGGAGCTATGGGCCGACATCAAGGGAGAGTTTGAAAGTTGCCCAAAGAAGAAAAGAACGTATCCCTTTTGATTTTATTTGAACTATATTTATTATATTTGATACAAGCTGGAGTACCTCTGTTAATGAAAATTCTTTAATGTGGACCTATATCTATAAAAGGACCTCTATAACTAATCACACCTCAAAAGGTCATGGATCATGCGAGTGGGTCCTGCCTTGTTACCTTTGGGCTCTTATGAACAGTCATTATGATTACCCTTATAACTCGAAGATGAAGTCCAGCTGTGATCAAAGCAACTGCAATATCAGAACCACCTCTTCAAACAAGAACTTAACTTAGTTTGATACACTACTATTACTGTATCTGTTGCCTCTCAGGTAAAGTTAAAAAATATCTTAACTTTTTAACTTTGTTTACTTGAACAGGTAAGAGTAATCCTCCACAACACATATTGATATTGCTATGTGAAGCGGGCATAACAAATAGGTCGACAGCACTATCTTACTCTACTATAGAAAATGTTTACAATATAAGATTTAGTAACTCAGGTTAATTGTAATGGCACGAATAATTCAGAAAGTAAGGTTTATTTATACAGCACATCTCACAGAACAGGGTCACAAAACGAGTTTCAAGTCTGCATTTTATTCTCTTCTTTAGTGCACACCGTTTTGCACGTGTTTCCAACTCTTAGTCAATAGTCACCCACAAAGCGGTTAATGACAACTAATACTTCAAGTGTGATTGACCAAGTAATTTTATCAATGTGGATTTTGGAGCTCAAACTTCAGACCTTCAGACCTCCCAGGAGATGCTTACTTTATGCAGTGGCTACATAGTGGGATTGGCAGATGGTGGCAGACGAAACCACTACTCCAAACCCAAAAGTCATACGCTCAAATTTAAGTCCAGAGAAATCAAACAATGGTTGCCCAAGAATGCATTCAGGTGGGAATTTGACGTGACATTCACGAGAGGGATCATTTAGTCAAGAGCCATGGCTAACCAAAATGGTCATCTTAAAAAATCCCTCAAATTGCTCAATTACCACAACACACACAGTTACTCTGCAGTCATTTTCTTTGGGCTCTATGGAAGTGAATATAATGTCGGGGTGCCGTGAAAAGGAACAAAGGGTCTGCAATTTATCTAACAGCCTGAGTCATATAACAAAATGCACACCACATGTAGCCTATGACATAATCTGATTAATGGGTTTATAATTAGCACTTGTGGTTGGTCAGGAAAGACGCTGGCTGCCGCGGGAAGTCTGTGGAAATTAGCGCTAACATATCGTGTGGTAATAAATATGAAGATTAAGTAACGTGTGTCTGGATTTACAAGAAATCTGGAGATATGGCCCTTCTCCTTCGTCTGCAGTATTTTCAGTGTTAATTATGTTGAATTTAAAGAGGATGTGACTTGTCATTAGAGCTAAATGTATATCCATATGTCTCAATAATCCATGCAGCAGTGGATATCTGGCTTTGCTCTATGATTCAAACTTCAAAAGAATAAAAGGTAGTGGTGAAACTAAGGCTGTCATTCAAATCCGGTTCCAGTGGTCCTATTTTACTCCATGTGTCTCTAGCAGCTGTCTTGACCCGTGCGCTAGTCACACATGCAAGTCATCAGTGAGTTAGGACGGGGTCAGGAGCTTCTTGAAGTTTTGGAAACTCATGGGACCACTTCATTTTCTGCAGTGATCTCACCAGCACAACCCTCTCTGCTTGTTATATTTTACTTATGGTGTCACCAGCGGTAATTATCCTTAGTCGCACATGCTACCAGTTACGACTGTATTGACTTGTGAGACCGCTTCACTAAGGTATGAGGTACAAATCGAAAACACTAGCGTGAAATTGCATGACGTGTCTTATAATTTAATAAAAGGCAGACGGAGAGTTGAAAAGCTGTGTCGCCTGCCTGTTGTCCTTTGTACGGCTGTGGATTTGTCGCTGATCTTGTCCATTACCTCAGAGCCAAGCTGGATCTGCGGGGGCACGGCGAGGGGTGGTCTTCTCTCTCGTGTCTTTTTGCGGTAGCTCAGAATGACAGTGGCATACTTACTCCAACCATCCTGACCTCACAGCCCAGAGGAAGTGATTAATGATGTCAGGTATTCCTCATGGTTACGTGGATCTTCCCAGCAGCAAAGTACTAAGCTTGCCCTCCCTCCCTCCCCCCCCAGGAGCCCTACCTCGATCTCTTCACCATATGTGCTCTCAATGACCCTCTTCCTAGAGCTCCCCTGTGCTTTCACTAAACTTCTAGGATGCGCTCAGAAGTACAGCACCTACAGGGTTAAATTCATTTTACTCTCTCGGGATGAATAAAGCAGGAGTGATGGTCCGAAATGCCAATATACAAATGTCTTAGACTGATAGACAACATCCACGTCTCAACATTATGTCAATATAAGGACAGTTTTTTTGGTTGTACGATATTATGAAAGTGTTAAAATTCCAGTTGTCACCCAGTCCAAACCATTTTCACCTCTTGGTACTGAGGCAGAGGCTGTATTTGTAGGTTGGGGCACAAGAAAAACAGAGTGGATATGGAAGTATCAATGATATAATTTCATGCAGATGTACATTGTGGGTCAGCTGTGAGGACGCTGTATGTGTGAGGAGTTGGGCAAAACCAGACCGTCCACCGTTTATCTAAGTGTGACCTTTGCACCGATGTGGATCCATCATGTGCTCAGTTTTGCTTAATTTTCCCCCCATTTTTCCGCTGTCATTTTCTTTCAGTCCATTCTAACTTTTCATTTATCATTTTATGCTTGGTAATGGCCCTCTCTAAAAGGTCAAGAGCACAGCCTTTAGCACCAACTATAGCTAAATCAATTTAATTTTTAGTAATGCAATCTATTGAACAGTATTTGCAGGAGCTAATGAGTGTGTTTGATAGCAGGTCTGGCGTAGCGCGAGATTGAGTGTGGAAACTACACAGGCAGTAGCTAACTTCACCTCTTCACAATGATTTCATCGGGGCCTGGAGAAATGTCATGGCTAGACGTCCACATGGAGAAAGGAAGGATGAAGAAAGAAAGACTTTTCCCTATAATCGCCGTGCTCACAGACAATCTTTGCTTTGCCCAATTAAATCCCAAATTTCTCCTCACACACTTTCTCCATCACAGCACAAATGTCTCCCGAGGCCCATATTGAAAGCATAAGGCAACATATGCAATCTTTTAATATTGTATTTCCATAACTCACAAATGTTTCCCCTATTTTATAAGCTAACCCTCAAAGTTAGCGTTGAGAGAAGCACTTAAGTGTTATGTCATCGAGGGCAAAGATTCAAAATCCCTCATTCGTCTAGACGAATGAGGATCCAAATCGCATATAAAATACTATAGCTTTGTCACCAGCCCAATAAAAAATCAACAGTTATTTAGACCATTTGGTATGTCTTTGTCGCCAAAAGGGTCTCTAAAATGAGCACATTTTACTCCATATCCAATCTAATTTTACTGGTAAATAGTTGTAGTTCAGAACCAAGGAAAGTTAAATCCATCTGTGTAGAACTATAACTTAAAAGAGGCATAATTACCACTTTGGGAATAAAATAATAGCTCTGGTTTAGCTCTAACAGCTCTTTGGGGCTCACGGTGGAATTTGAATATCAAACAAGAGCTTTCAGAACGTTTAATGAGCAATTAGGCGCACAGTCCAGTCTGCTGTTTATGATAGCTGTGAGACATAAGGTAGAGAAAGGTAAATATGCTCATGTGAAGGAGCATACAGAATGGTTCATTCTGATTGCATGATGTGGATCAGTGAGCGCGGGATGGGTACTGAGTCACGCACATGCTAATGGTGATAATGGCCACATCCTGCTGAAATTATGCCATGTACATTACTGCTTTAAACTTAATAAAAGGGTGGGTGAGAGATTGACCAGACTAGTCATTATCCTAAATAAACATCCACATGCCGGATAGTACAGGCTATGGTCTCATGCACAGGTGTTATTGTCTGCAGTATGCATGTTTAAGCAACTTCAGACTTAAATAGTATTAAAGTACAACTAGCAGTGGGTGGTAAGGAGAATTATCAAGGACACTTTTTTTAAAGCAACAATGTCAACTTAAACATAAAGTGGCTACCTAGATCACAGATATCCTGAACTTATCTATTTAACTGCAGGACTAAGGAAAATATTAAATACTCAAATGTGCGGTCCTTTCAAATGCCATGTGTTTGATCTTAAAAAGAAAAACCAAAAATGATATTCTGTCATAAATATATGATTCAATGTGTATCGCCCTGCACTAACCAACCCACTTGCATTGGCCATTATTGGTCTGAAATTGCTCTTGCAATTTTCCACAGAGGCAACCCATTAATCGAAGTTCCATGGTTATAAGGTGTACAGCCATGTTGTTGGCTCCGTCCATTTAAAAACGGACCTTACGACATACGTAGCTGTGGTGAGAAAAGTAAGCGCCTGGAATAGTGAGGGGAACCTGTGTTGTACCTAAGCTCCTTTAATGGCTCTGTGGTCTGGTGCAGTAAATAAAGTGGAAAAGCAGCCGCGAGGGGCACAAAGTGGACTCAACAGAAGAGGTTAAAAGGCTGCAGACGCAAAGGATGTGAGATGGTCAGCGAGTGAGGCCAGAATAAATGATTGTGATTCAAAATGGAAAGCATATAAACATAACCTTAAACTACAGGCTTTCATCAACGAGCAACTGGGGTATAAAACAATCTCCCAACCGCAATGTTCTTTTAGACTGGTTCGTTTTGTGACAAATACAACCTGATGTAACCTTTGAGATGTTACTTTTTGTTTTTGGGTAATAGGACATCCACATTTGGACCGTCACTTTCTCTCAAGGGGCCATGGCAAATGACTAGCTACATTGTATCCTATCATGTTTTTCATCTGCATGTTTTTGTCTTTGACTGGCACTTTCCAACACACATGTCACCACTGCTTGTGTGCGCTGGTGTGATCAGCCATGAGCTCAAAAACAACTGTGCCGTGGATGAGTGGCCGCAAACCGAGGAAGGACTTATAGCTGCAGGTTTGGGAGATGGATGAAGGGTGAACGGTTGACATGCAATGACATCCCTGGCTCCCGTGGGGGATCGAGAGAGAGGGGGGAGGCAATGGTGCATGAAAAAGACAAGGCGGTGTCCGATGAGAGCTGGATTAGGCATGTTTCCACTAGCCCGCTAGGGGGCGGATCGGCATGGCCCCGTTGGGTGTCCCCACTGTCCTGTGGGTGAAAGTGAAATGCTGTGACAAACCACAGCGGCTAGGGTTGTGAAATCCGGGAAAAAAGGTATCACTGTTTTTTATCCCATATTGATCAATCTCTATTTCTGATTTGTCTCTTCAGCCCCTTACATGATTACTGGCACATGATTGGTGTCTTTTGATTTGAATTCAGGTGTTGATTATCACAATCAACCAAAATTGAGATTGAAATCTTTCATTTTTTTGGCTCAGCCCTAAAAGTGGCCTTGAAGCAAGCTCTGGGAGGTAGCAGATCCTAAGCAGGTCTGGCTAAGTACGGTTTTGCCGAATGAATAGCAACGATTGGATGAACGAGAAAACAAACTCAGGTGAAATAAAGAATAAAGTAAACAACAATCAGTTCCAATTGAAACAAAGATAGGACTACAAAAAGCAAGTGAAATTCAGCGCCAACCTCAGGGCCACCCAGGTCCTAATCAGCAGGATGCAGAGTACCTCCAGAGGCCTCGGAGCCGGGCCCCTGTGCCCCCTTCTCAGTCCTATCATGATCTCGTCTTCGGCACACAAACACATTTCCTCAGCCACTTCCTTACACTCATGTCACTACGAACTTATTCCGCATCGCCGCGTCTCACAGATCCACAGTCACTCATTACCGCTATGCACAAGGGACTTAAATAATCCAAAAAGAGAAGGGAAAACTATTATAACATAAAACCAAATGTTTGTATTCAGCCTTTATGAGCTATATCTATTGTGTGGTTAAAGGCAATTCAATATTTTGCCCAGAACTACAGAATAGATATGGCTCATGTGTTACTGAATATTGTTGAAAACTTGATTTCTTGAGACTAATACAAATCTTACGTCATCCAAATGCCTTGATTGTCTACACATGCTAAATCACAAACATAAATGAGCTTTGCAGAGAGGCCAATATCATATTTTTCCCCATGCATGACTCCTGCTTACCAATAAATGCTTCACTTAAAACATCCTTAAAATAAATGGCTGGCTCTGATGATAAAATAAACAACAAGTCATCGATCTACATCTGGACAAAGACATTTAGTCATGACTTAGACGCGGGCCTCCAGAGTGACTCATAAAGTGACATAAACGATATCCAACGTGGCCTCACCTGCAGCAGCTGTGTTCTGCTCAGACTCTTCGTTGCATGGGGTTTGGTTGTGTTGAAATACAAGGCTTAGTAATGAGTGTGGACAATTAGTTATATTTACAGCGAAAACCCGGAGTGCAACAAGCCTGTTTGTTACAGTCACATGACAAGAGCGTTTGACATTAAGCAGAGTATATGCTGACAGCATCCATTTGCAGTGCTTGTCCTAACAACTGAGTGTTTAAAGATGGACCACCTCAACTTAAGCAATAGTGGGCTGCATGTGTTTTCATCTAAGGCTGTGTACTATTTGAAATATACTTTAAAGCTGCCAATGGAATATAACATAAAACCAGGTAAGATTGTGATGCATCACTATACTTAAAGCAGGGGTAACCAGCTTTTGATTCACAACAAACCACTAATATCACTCTTACTATAGTTCCTAAGGCTCTCAGCATTGTGGTTCTATCATGCTTTTACACTTACGTATGTTCGGCCTCCTCTTTAGATCAGCATTTTCAGACAGAGAAGTGAAAAAAGAGGACCACCCACATTCAGCTCTCAGCTCAAAGCGTCAAATAGTTACTTGCTTTTCCCGTTTGTCTTCTAGTCTGTTATATTTTGCATACAAAATGTTGTGGTCTGATATGTCCACATTATATTTGTTAGAATGTGGTACCCTAGCTTCAATAAGAAACCTGTGCCTACTTCAGTTTAGGGTCTTTTCACAGCATTCATCCAACATAATTTGAACTGTTAATACAAATGGTTCCTCCAGCCTTAAGTGCGTTGATACAGCTGACTCACTGGTCCCCTATTTGAGTAAACCAAGATGTCAGCTGTGGTGTGAGGACAGGGCAGCACAGAGCGCCTCTGTGCACGGCCTATGGCGAGACTGATGTGTGCGCGCTAACTGTTGGCCAAGCACAATAGAGAGAGGCGATGGTCTTGCTCGTTACTAATTGAGTCAGTATGCTCGGCTGCTGGTCTGAGTGACCTTTTACAGCAGCAGATTGACTCCAAGCTTCAGGGAACATTAATAACACAGCTCACAAGCACATACAAAAACATAAGCTGACTGCCCTGAGTACACACAAGACTTCACTCACAAGTTACACAAGGGAAAAGAGGGTTTGCTTCAAAATGAGTGTACAACTTCAATGTCAAGGTGTAATTGTTAAGATTTCTCAATAAAAGTCATTGCATATTTGTATTGAGGGCTAACTTTGATAGTTGCTTTGTTTTATACCCGAGTCTTGCTTTGCTAACTAGTTACAATTCTATAGTTATGGAAGTTATTCAGTTAAAATCTATTGTATTTACTCATAACTACAATGTTGGTACTGACCTGGACAATCGGGTGCCCTCCTGTTAAGGCCTTGACTGCTCCGCGGCTGCCTTCGGTCTCGTAATGTGCTCTGTGATGGGACTTGGGTTGAACCTCAATCTGCAAACTGTACGGTCCCGAGCAGGAGGGAAGCTGCCAGTCCAGCGAGGGCAGAGACGGGCTGCAAAACCAACACAAATGCATATGTACGGGATGATAATTACACGGTTTAAATTGTGGTTTATTCAAAGGCATTAAAGGACATCATGGTCAATCACATCAAGTGCTCACGTTTTCCATGGGCCACAAATGCACTGCTAAAAAACGTCAAGTTAGGTTTATAACATTGTAAAATATGGGTGCTTTGTGTGATTCAAATGTGTTCTTCCTGCTTCTCTTCCATCACTGTCTATTATTCTATCAGTTGAAGTCATTCACTGACCTGCCTAAAGTCTGGCTAATAAGTAGGTGGCTCTTTTATGAGTAAAAAAAAATAGGGCAAAATCTGTGTTAGTTAAAAACTGGTGTGTTTTGTATTAGAGTTTGACAGATGGAAATAGACAGAGTTGGGAAGACTGACAGAGGGGAGAGAGACGTTTCTAGGTTGTAAAAACAAATCCTACACATTTTGGCATGTGCCGCAACTTTTTGTTCAAATATTATTTCAGAACCTGTACTAATTCTAAAACCTCTACCACAACAAACTTTTTTTTTCTTTTAATATGACCTTCCTCTGTAAGTTTTCTATTTTGCATAAATACAAGTGTTACATCCAAAAAACAAGTGAATTCAAGCTTAACAAGGAAAGAAGAGAACTATATCGTAGAGCCACAGCTGGCCTTCGTTGCCATTATTGTTTTGGGGATGGGGCATGTAGTTCCCACATGAATACTGCAGATGTATCTTAATCAAAACAAACAAGTGCAAGACGATATTTCTTTACACCGGATGCCCTGACCTGAAGGTGGCTGACTGAAACCAATCTGCGGATCAGTGAGGACCATGCAGCCTGTTTGTTGACCCAAAACGCAGTGATTTCCCTTCTGCAGGGCTTTATCTGGGCCGTCAGAGCATGACATCACACTGGCTGCTCATAGAGACGGGCCAATGAGCTGATTAACCCGCAGACGGCTTCCCCCTCAGCCAGGCCTGTCACCAATACTTCCTGCTGCACACTATCTCCATCAAACACTTGATTTCCGTCACAGAGAGGCTACAGAGTTAGTAAGAAGAATAAAATGTACATAAATATATAAATAATCGTTTGCCTTTAGTCTTCTGTTTAAAATAACTGCAAAAAAAAAAAAATGTTATTGAAGTAACATCTGTATTGCCGCAAAATATGCTCATAATATTGTATTCTTAGTGAGCTCCTTGTCAATAATTCTATCTTGAATGTCTTAATTATGTTTTAACGGATGCTGGTATATACACACTCTGCTGTGCTATGACATCAGTTTAGTGTGAGTGAGGTACCTGAGATAAGGCTTGGGTTTAGACCAAGAGTACGGGTTCTGGGGCACATCCAGGAACCCTCCACAGTAGCTCTCCTTCTTCATAGCCAGACGAGAAGCGTAATCATCGTGACACAAGTCTCCGTCCGGACTCAAGCTGTCTGCACTGGGCTCCATCTTCAGGCCCATGGATGCTTGGTGGTCCAGCATGGTCTTGCGCGTCTTGATTGGAATCCCCTCCCCCATGTCCACTACTCCATCTGTAGTTAGGGCGTTGATGGCAGCCACAATGGCAGAGTTGGTGTACTGGTTTGTATTGGCAAGCCAGTTCTCATCTGTGACACTCACCCTCGGGGAGCCGTGAGGAGACGGAATGGGAGACTGATTTGGTGAATTCTGGCGATACGTGTTGCCGTTTAGGCTATACTTTCTTTTACCAGTGCCACTTCCGTTGATTGTGATCCCACCAGTATTGGATGGGGAATTTGACCTTGATCCACGCGTCTGTGCTGGCCATCCTTCTTCAGCCAGCGCCCCAATCTGAGGAGACGCAGAGGGGGAGTGGCGGGGAGAGGCTGCAGGGCCGGTGGCAAGAGGGCAGGACAGAAGTGAGTTTCGTGGGGAGACACATGGAGATTGCCACGGTGAATTTTGAGGGGAGTTTTCGTAGTTGTAGAAGCTCGACTCATAGGATGAAGCTTCGGAATTGCAGCTACGTGAGGATATGCTGCTGGCAGGACTAAGACAAGTGGGATCACGGTATCCTTCAGCGGCATTAGGCAGTGTGAGTGTTACAATGGAGTTGACGCCACGTTTGATGATGTGGTTTTCACTGTTGCTCTCCTCAACCTCGTCTTCTGGGTAATGGCTGTAGGCAGTGATCTCGATTCTAGGGCTTTCGAGAGCAGGGGCACCATTGGGTCTCATGCCATGGGGAATGTAATAGCTTGATACAGGATTGTGGTTTTCATTTTGGAGGCTGTACGCCGCCTGGTGGCAGGAGGAGACTGAGATGACTGGACTGGTCTGTAACGTATGATACTCGGTGGCGAGGCAAGGGTTTCCCATACCGAGTGGAAGGGACAGGCTGACATTTGGAGTGTAGCTGTATGCATCTGGAAAACAAACAAAGATCAATCCATCAGCTGCATGAACAAGCAGGACATTTCTAAGAAGAAAAAAGTGTGTTTTACTCATGGGGTTATAATAATCGGTATGGTTCATTAGGTCTTTACGTCACATACGATTTTATAGTCATCTGCTGTCCCATGAGAGGTGCTAAAAAGTCAAACTTAGTTTTATCCTAAGCTAAACTACTTTATATGATTTGTATGTGAGACGGATTAGGAGTTCCACACCCTCAATATTAAGGTTGGGCTAAAATCAAAAGACTGAAAAATCAATCAACTTTTCTCAGTCTCAGACATGTGCATTAAAATCAAGAGACATTATTTGTGAGGCTGAAGTGGAGGAAAAAACAGACTGTTTTGGATTCAACCCAAGCAAGGGACAGTTAGAGCTCCACTCATTCGCCTTTCACAATGTTTGGCTTAATTAGGTAGAATAAAATATAAGTATTTACACTTGCCTGTGAGGGGATGGAAAAGGAGACTGATTTGGTGAAATCTAATATCCATGTTGATCTTAAAGGTATTTAGGAGGATTTTCTACCACCCGGTGGATCATCAAGACTATTGGCCCTCCCACTTGACAATCATTCTGGTGATACATGCTCATCAAATAAGACCAGAGAGTTTTGTTTCATACAGCGGGGAGGGCAGTTCTTTCCTAAAATTTGGGAAAATCCTCCTATGTACCTTTAAGTAACACTTTCTCAGTATATGGCTCTTTTAAACAAACTAAGGTTTACATAACAAATTGTGGCAAAGCCAGAGCATGGGACGAAATATGCTTAAATTGAAACTACAAATTGATTCTAAAAAATTATTTCAAATCCATACCACTTCTAACACTCATATACAACAAACTGAGAACTTTACGCTCCACGGCCAAAGTCAGACCCTTTAGATTACGGCAATAATTAGCCTGACAGTGGTTGCATTTCAGAAGAACAATGCCCCCTTTACCAATGTCTTTGAGGTCTCCAGCGCGTCCCTGCTTTATAAACATCTGGAGGAGTTTAGCAATCATCTCCGAGCCTCTGCGTCTCTGCGTGCTCCGTGCAGTCACAAGTTTGCGCCGCCTCCTGGGTCGTTTGATGGGCTGTATGTATTTGAATTCCTCTTTCTGTGCTGATGGATGCTTTATTTGATTGATAGCTTCACTCACTGCATGTATTAGGCTCTCCCTGGTGGAAAACTGACAGCACTCTCGTACCACTCAGAGCTTGTGATTAAGTCAGAGAGATTTACGCACGGGGAAAACAACAACAACAACAATACTTGCAAAATCAGAAAGAAACAATTATTTAGACGTCTTCAAAGTTTGACATTTTTTGCTCAAAGTTATGGGTGGGTGCTCTGTCAATATCCCATCTATTCTATAATGCAGTGTTTTTCAAGTGCGCCTTGAGATGTTGTCTGATTTGTTGTTTGGTTTGCCTTTGGAAATTATGCAATATAGAAAAGGATTTGACTTTTTTTTCTATATAATTCACTTTGACGGAAATGACTTTGCGTTGTTAATAAAGGCTGCAGACTTGAATGTATCAGTTTCAGCTGGTGGTAAATGGAAAAGGTGCGCTACGGCTCAAAATGGTTGGGGAACACTGCTTCGGTGTCAAAGTTGGCAGATAGTAAAGGGCATTTCCCTCTGGCTATATTTGTCAATCACAAAATATCTTGTATGCAACTTTATATGTAGAACAGAGAGGCTAAAATGAAGTCTAAATGTGTATTCTGAGTAACAGGAGAAATATTTCAGTGTAAAAGGGTTAAGTCAATCACTGTGCAGAAAATAATTGCTTTATCCCTCTCTGTAAGATTATACTCATTTTCCACTTTGGGTTGTTGCTGTTTGATTTTAGATCAATGCTCGAGGCAAAATAATAGAATAAAATTCTGAAATTTCTATAATGCTTTAGAATAAAATGCAGTAAAATTACAAAGTGGTGCAAAATGAAAAAATCATGGCGAGTATGCAAACGGCACATTATAAAAAGGTGTTGTAATTTGAAAATTGTGAGAAGCACTCAGATTATGGCATTCCCATTCTGTCCTCCGCAATTTCTTACAATTATACTATCAAGATCAAAACGTTCACAACCAAACCAGCGTGACTAAAGAATAGACGAGATTTTCTGGAGGGTTTGTGGTCTGCGTAGCCTCAGACTGATGGGACCGCAGGGAGAGAAGTTCTGGGCACACTATGAAGCAAATACATACTTTTATGAAAGAGTATTCATTCACTTTTGTAACACTAAACAATTATGTAAAGCCTTCAAATAATCATAGAGGCTTCACTAAATATCTGCAAAAAAGTCTGAATTAAAGCAAATACTAAAAAGAAAGCCTGTACTATACCAGCACATTAGGAAGATCATGAGAAATCAAAATACTAAACTAAATCAAAATACCTCACAAACAGATGTGGACTTAATGAACTTGATCAAAAGTCTGGTAAATTACAACTCACAACCTGCTACAGTCTATGCCTGCTACCACCTGAACTAGACACTCCACATTTTGGAACACACTGGCTGAAAATATGTCATAATGTGCCTGTACTATGTGCCAACAGTATAGGCACAGCAGTGGTAGGATACAATAAAAGCATAGAGCACAGACACGTCTGTTACCAATTATAAAGCTTAAGTCTGAGAGTCTCAAAATGAGTAATAACAGTAGAGCCAGTAGTCGACTATTTCAAACCACAAAAGACAAAATAAATCCACAAAAGGCAGTGCCATCATCAACAGTAGGAGAAGTAAATCAAAGGAAGACGTCACATAATATGCCATATCTGATTGTGCAGAATACCAATATATACTTTCACTTAACCAGAATATCTCATGCCAACTTAAAAAGTAAAAATGGAATATGTAGTTGGATCCAGACCTTAGCTGAGAGTGGAGCCTGACTACATTTGCACACTTATGTAAAGCAGTTTTACACCGCTCACACGGTGGCTTTAGGTTTGACTATAGAAGTGCACAGTGATGAATGACAGGCAACGCGCACCTGCAGGTCAGCTCTGTGGACAGGCACCTACAGGTCAGCTCTGTGGACAGGGGCAGGACCTGCAGGTCAGCTCTGTGGACAGGGACCTGCAGGTCAGCTCTGTGGACAGGGACCTGCAGGTCAGCTCTGTGGACAGAGACCTACAGGTCAGCTCTGTGGACAGGCACCTACAGGTCAGCTCTGTGGACCAACAGGTCAGCTCTGTGGACCTACAGGTCAGCTCTGTGGACAGGGACCTACAGGTCAGCTCTGTGGACAGGGACCTACAGGTCAGCTCTGTGGACAGGGACCTACAGGTCAGCTCTGTGGAAGCCAGACAACACTGTGCACGTGTGCGGCGGCATCATTCTTAAGTTGAAAGTGGATCATAGTATAAGGCTGTGTATTGAAAACTGTTTCATCTCAAAGGGCTGAAAAGGTAAGGTGAAGAGTAGTCCATCATTTATGAGACTATTAGTTATGAAATATTGTATACCATATAACTTTCTTTTCTAATGTCAAATGATATATTTTCTCATTAGTTATGGACATGTTATAACATGGATGGGAGAGGCATACCCTTACCTTCTTCTGCCGACTTCATGTCGTTGTTGACAGACTGGAGAAAGTCCAGTCCCAGCTCTGAGCCTGCTGCTGCTGCTGCTGCTGCTGCTGCTGATCCAAGGCTGAACGATGAATGAACGCGGAGGAAAAACGCTTCCTGCATTCAACAAGCGGCGCGAAACTTTCTACTAGTAAATGAGCTGTTGCGGCCAAGAGCAAGAGTAAAACAAGAGACAGTTTACTTCATGAAGCGTGAATGTAAGTCAAAAGCATCATTCACAGAGAGCTTTGAACTTGACCGCGCTCCGCAGCGTAGCGCTGTGACAGGGGGCGATGCTTCTGCAGCCGCTGGAGGTGAGTGTGAATCTTACGAGGCTTTAAGAGTCTCCCTCAGCTCGATGACGCTGCTCTGTTTGTCATGGGGGCCGGATGGGCTTCGGTGCTTTTAAAGGTGGAAAACACCCTCCATGCTTCGCCTCTGCGCCCGCCCATCCGGGGATGACGCGCGGAGCGGTGCTCCTGCAAACCTCCCATGGAGCTGACAGATGCCATGGGTCCAGCATGAGCCGCACTTACTACAACTACAGGTGTGGAGCAGAGTCAACAGGTATAGGATACTTTCTCAACATGCACGTCCCTATTCTCTCACATAGTGCTAGCAGACATATGACATTTTAAATAAGACTTACTCAAATACTCAATACTCAAAATGGGTTAATTAACCCCAAAGGGCTTCATTATCTTGCTACAGCCACTGTTCAGATCGTAGTGTAAGTGTTGTTTTGACAATCATGCAGAGCTTATTTGTGAGCATATTGTTGTTCAGAGAGAAGAGTCCTCTGCTTACCCTTTAAGGCTATATCTTGAAAATCGCTCATACTGTCCACGTCTTTATACCACAAAGAGGAGAAAATTAAGAATGAAAATGAGTCTTTCAGAGAGATACAAAAAGTATTACCTAATTCACTCAAAAAGAGAAATTAGAATAACATAGAAGAAAATATGCAGCTGACAACTGTTTTAAATGGGCAGAGAAAAGTGTTATTCGGATGCTGGGTGATCATCTCTTTGTTCCCTCTATGGATTCATCTAAACATAATCTGTGAAGACATGAGTACTTTACAGTGACTAGTGTTCCTGTTTGCATCGTCAGCCCCAAACCATATCAAACACCTTGTTTCCTGACACTCACTCAGGACCAGGGGCTTCATCCTCATAACAGTCTCATGTATCAGGACCCTGATGGTCATATAATGACTCGGGTCGTTAGAACCAGCTTCTGTGTTATTATAGTACCATTACCATCCTGCATATCTTCATGATTACTACAAAAACTCACTAGCTGGAATACTTCATTTCTCAATTTACTTTCACTACAACAAATGTTTCTAATGTTTCCGTATCCTTTCACAAATAAGCGCTTGACTTTTTCATTCATTATCTATTCGCAATACTTCCTCTTCAATGTATGTCAATTTGATTCTTGAGACATTACAAATTGAAATTACCTTATACTTTACTCGCTCTACATTTATCAAAGTGATGCAAAGCTCTTATTTGAAATAGACCTTTTTTTTGTACATGATTTTGAGTTATTTGTTTCGTTAATGGAGCCCTGATTTGAGCAGGTTGCGTCGACACAGTCAGTTTGCATTGATTAATGACATATACTTGTTTAACATGTATGAATAGATGTTTTTGTACCAGTGAAATACAACCTCAATTATACACATGTGTGTATGGAAAGAGTAATGACAAGCAAATCCTGTTTTATAACAAGTAGGAATATCTGAGCCGTGCTAACCGATGCAATTAATGATGGGTTAGACAAGCTACAACATAGAGTTATTCCTCTTGAATCTGAGCCATAGAGTGTGAAAAAATCCACTCCCTGAAGGCTGCGTTGTAGCTGGCAAAGTTTAGGATGCTCAGACATAATCAGAAGCAGAGGGAGATGGTGTATGGGGAGACCAAGCACACACAGTAACTTTATAACACAGTGTTTTCTTTGCCTACGGTAGCTCCTCGCCGTCAGCTGCGGTCTTGGCACATGTGAAGCCTGAGATGAGAGAGCAGGCATCACGTACTTGAGCAGATGAATTATGATAAAAAGCAGTGGTATAGGAAAAAAGTAGCAACACAAGTCTGATTGGCAGTGTCAGCAGTCGGGAGCTGTGTGGCTGTGGTTAAGGTTAGCTCCTATGGCAGACTGGAGACTTATCTTGATGAATCTTGTGCTTCTGAGGAAAGTGCCATTAGGCGTAACAGCTGTCAACAACAGTCAGTCCTGAAGAGATCCACGGTGACAAATGACACGTGACAGGTCATCAAGCAACATTGAAAGGAGACACTTTATTGCCTTATTTGTTATTGTTTTTTTTTCATAACCTGGAATTTTGGTTGTAAAGTTGGTTTGAGCCATAAATATCAAAAACAAAAAATGGCTTGATGTTGAATGATATTAGTTTCAGCTGCACATATTCATGGTATATTTTGGTGCGAGACCATGGAGATAAGTACGTTCTCTGAGCCACAGAGAGCCAGCTCAGAGACCTGAGAACTGGACTAATCTGATATTGTACTTCCTGATTCTAGAGCCGTGTTGTAGCAAGTTTGGAGAGCCCAGTGAGCAGGCCATTACAGTATTCTAACCTACTGGAGAAAAATATATGGATAAGAATCTCCAAATCTTCTTTAGACACTATATTTTTTATTCTGGCAATGTTTATTTAGACTTTTAAAATAAGCTGCTGCTACTTTCATGTGGCCACTAATATTTGAGTCTTTTATTACTTCTAGATGTATGACCTGATTTGTTGGTTAAAGACAGAGAAACTGGAGGTGACTGATTTCGCTCTCTCTTTGTTTCTGGAGCCCAAAGACAATAAAGCAAAATCTTAGTTTAGATTTAGTTTTACATTGGATTGTACTGTACTAACACATCTCTATTGCCTAAGCTTCAGACTATACCAGAATACTCTAGTAGTATCTATTTTGTTACCTTTGCTGATCCCTATTTCATCTTTGTGATAACATTATTCTATGAGCTATATAACCACATTACCTCATCCCAATTAAGGAAATGATGTTTTTATTCTTCATCATTTTCAGGAGCCCGGAAAGCACAATACACCATTTGCGTAATCTGGTTTAAGGGCATCTCTTTTTCAGTCTCCTCTAAATGTGTGAATCCAGTTCATATTCTTTCATGTCATGCCAGTATCTTCTGACAGTATGCTCTTCTTCCTCTTTCTTAAAGACTTTTTTAAATGGGTGGTACGCCCAGTCCGAAGGAAAGTACGTCCACATTTCTGGAAATGTAAAATCCTAATTTATTGCTACTACATCTGGCCTTGTGACAGTGCAACTACACTGCAGCCACAACATGTCTGTGGAGCACATTAGTCTTGTGTCTGTGATTTATGAGTAGCTTGCTCCCAATCGCGTGTTTTGCACAAAATGATCATTGCTCACGGTTCGTAAACAGACACACTCTGCTTTATCATTTAAATGGATTGAGTTGCTTTGTTTTGTTCATTTGTACTCATGAAATCCTTCCACAAATATAATGCATTTTATGATATACATCAATTGTCTTATCAGGCAAATAAACCGGAACACAATCACATCAAAAGGAAGATTGATGACAGCACGGTGGCTGTTAGTGCCCTTTCTGAGTTCCATCCATCCATTTTCTTCCCCTTAATCCATTTCTGGGTCGGGGGGGTGGCAGTCAGAGATGCCACCCAGTACACAGAGCACCAGCCTCTCACTGATCCTCCTGCAGGTGGTGAGTCCACAGGAGCTGAGATCTTTCAGTGGGAGCTTCAGGCAAAGTTGGGTTAAGTGTCTTGCCCAAGGACACAACGACAGCAGTCATCAGTGGGAGTCGTGAAGTAGGTCTTATGGTGGGCTTGAACCCACGACCTTCAGGCCCAAAGGCCAATGCTCTACCAACTGAGCTACTGTCGCCTTTCTGAGTTTATTAATATATTTCTGAGTTGGGGGGTGGCAATGTTCATAGCACCAGTCCCTCGCTGATCCTCCAGTAGGTGGTGGGTCCGCAGGAAGATGGCTGCTGCTCTGTCAGCGGTGACACCATGGATCTATTGTAATATCTGGATAGGGCGTTACCAGCTTATAGCGGTCCCACTAAGAAGCACAGGGGGCACTCGTGGTACTGCAGACTAAATTCACGTGGGCTACCCAGAAAAAATTTCCCATAGAACTCAATGTAAGCTAAAACAGCTCGACCTCAGCTGACAGAGAACCTACAGCTTTCATGACGATCGGATTTTCACTACTGAGCAGAAGCCATGGATTTGAATAGGGCACCATCTTGGATCACCAGGGCTTGGGTGACACTTTCAGTGTCTTTCATGTCAGTGATGCGATAAAACCACCAGGTGTGGAGTTTTATCTATAAAAAAGTAAGTTTATTAGTTCCATTATTAATTTATTTTCACAGTTAAATCTGTTTTTGCTATCAAGCTACCAAGTGACCTCAGCTCACCCACCTCAAAATAATAAATAAACGGAGTGCCTTTTAGCTGTTTGGGAAATGTGGTTATTGCCAGTTTCTTGAATGTTTACTACCAGTGGTTTGGCGGTGGATTGGATGTTCATGATGGTATATGCCTGAAAGCTGGGTCTTAGAAGAGGATTCACATTTAAATCCTATGCCAGAAGTTGACAGGTAAAAATAATCACATCTGAGTTTTCCAAGTTGTGTGGCTTATTCCTGTCAGCTTGGTTTGTCTAGACTTCTGCAATGAGAATAAATCAGTTTGAAGCCAATGATTTTAAGCCA